GTATCCTCGGAGGGGATCGGATGCTTGGGCGAAGAGTGCAGGGGCGTCGTTTAGTGGGTAGGGTCCTGAAAACATCTTTGGGCCCGTGGTTTCACTGTCGCAGATCAGTCCTACATAACCCACGCGCCCCTCAGGCGCGAGGACCTCGTAGGAGGTTCGGCCCCCAGGCCGAAAAAAAAAGTTTTCGCCCATTCTGCCCACATCCGTATAAACTCCCTCCAAATTTTATAATCTCCCTTGAGCTAGCCTTCGAGGAGATCGACGAGAGGATCTAAATCTGGCATCAGTCCGTAAGTATATGAAAATAGCGTTAGATCGCTGCGATGTAAAACCATAGTCCCATTATTGTGGCCGCTACTAACTTAATTCAGCTCACGCACCAACCAACCACCGTTCACGCCCTAGACACGTTCTAGTGGATCCTAGTCCTAGTGGTCATTAAGAGGGCAAAGCCAAGTTGGCGTCCAAAATGCTGGGAGTCCTCAACAGAGCGAAGCGATACTTCACGTCTGGAAAGACTTTTGTTTTATAAATTACAAGTCCGGTCTCGCTTGGAGTACTGCTCCCATCTCTGGGCTGGGGCTCCCAAATACCAGCTACCTCCATTTGACTCCATACAGAAGAGGGTCGTTCAGATTGTCGATCATCCCATTCTCGCGGATCGCTTGAAACCTTTGGGTCTGCGGAGGGATTCGCTTCTCTTCGGATTTTGTACCGTATATTTCATGGGGAGTGCTCTGTGGAATTGTTTGAGATGATGACATCATCTTGTTTTTACCATGGCACCACCCGCTAGAGTAGAGTTCATCTATACTACCTGGAGCCACTGCGTTCATCCACAGTACGTTTCCAAAGATCTTTTTTGTACGTACCATCCGGCTTAGGAATGAGCTCCCCTCCACGGTGTTTCCCGAGCGCTATGACATGTTCTTCTTCAAACGAGGCTTGTGGAGAGTATTAAGCGGTAGGCAGCGGCTTGGCTCTGCCCCTGGCATTGCTGAAGTTCATGGGCGACGGTAACCACTCACCATCAGGTGGGCCGTATGCTCGTGTGCATACAAGGGCAATAAAAAATATAAAAAAACTTGATGCACTCCCCGTGAAGCTGAACGCTACTAGTTCTAACGCAAGCAACAGTCAGAGCATAGATAACCGTATTCGTCAAACTCTTCGAAGAGTTTTAAATTACCCTTAACGCATAGTATCAGCCCGCCGAATTTCTCACAGAATCTTTCAGCGGGTTGCGAATCCGATCTTATAGCAGATGCATTCACCAAGCAGTTGCCCTTAAGCAGTTGTGTCCTTTAATGGAACACTTACAGTTGTTAGAAACAACCCTCTATATCCTCTCTTCGCCGGCTGACCCTCGAACCGCTTCGCCCACCAGACCTGTTGAAGGTAGAAAGTTTTCCGAGCTACAAATTCTAGGCTAATAATTCGTAAATAGATGTGATATAATAATAATATCTGGATAATCTACTTGAACATTTTAGACCGTACTAATAAAATTACGGTAATCTTTAAATTTTAGAAGATGAAGAATTTTAAAAGTCACTTCTTATCATAATTTACGATTAATTGTTTCGTTTGTACTTTTCATTCGGTATTTATCTAGCTCAACCATTACCTCTGAACTAGTCTGACTAGATTTTTTTACTAGCAAAACCTAATAGTCTTATTTTGTAGAAATATTTAAATTATCTTGATGCAAGAAGTTTAACGCCATTATAACATTGAAAAGAAGTTTTTTTTTAATTTATTTAAATGGAAAATAGAGTTGCGGCTATTTTAGTGTATTATCGTGGTTCAAACTTCTGTAATATTTGTATGTACTTGTTAGATCACAATAACAAAAGGCACAACCTGTTAAGCATTGTTTTCACTTCGTAATATTGTAAGCAAATTTTTTTAGAACCTTCTGAATTAACAACAAACATTTTACTAACACCAATTTCAACTTTATTAACTTTGACAATTTAGTTTATTAACAGATGACGTTATAGACCTTTCATATAATGCAGTCTTTCTCAAAGTGGGTGATAACGCTCCCTTGGGGGCATTTGAAAGCTAGAGGGAGGCGTTAAGGGGCCCAGAAAAAATGGGGGGCGTTGATGGGGTTTATGGGGGCGATGTATAATTTGTAATTTCATTTACTTTTTATAGTATTTTAAATTTCACTAAAATTAAAACCCACATACTACACAATACCGAATAGTTAGTTTATATTTCTACCCTGTACGATGTTATAAAAACTTAAAATACTTAATATAGATTTCGTAGGATAGCCCGCACACCGTACGCAATCAAGTTGTAACAAGTTTATGCGGATAAAGGAACATGATCGATGAAGTTAAAAAATTAGAGCAATTTTATCTAAATTACATTGCCCCCAGAAGTTATTTTAAGTATTAGGAAAAAATATTATACATACGTAAACTAATAAACTAAAATAAATTGAAGTTTTCTTTACTTTCTTTCTTGTTTTCAACATAAGGGCATTTTACAGCATTTTCCTAGCATTTTATAAGAAATTACTGATGTAAGAATCATAAATTTTATATTAAATGGAAATACGTATAAAATTATTGTTCAAAAAGTTGTGTTAGAATTTTTTTTACAATTAACCCATTACCGTCCAGTGTCAAATAGTATAATAAGCCTAAACAGTTCACTTATTGTAAACGTCGTTTACTATTTCTATATATTATAAATATTAAATATTACAAATAATAAAAACGCTGGCTTAGGCGGTGATTTTTATTTGAACCAGTTCTAAAATATGGACTAAAATTCTATGAAAAATTACCCATATTTATCTATAATGCAAAATGATACTAATTTATTTTCCGTAGTTAAATAAGTTATTATTGTTAGTAGTAGTATTTACTGGTCGAAATTTTAAAATTTTAATTATCCTATGATGAGAATCTTATCTTATATTATTGAGAAAGACATTCAACAAAAATAGTTTCGTTCTAATAAATTAATACAATAATAGTACAGTAAAATAGTAATGTATATTGGTAATTCTGAATTTAAACGAACATATTTATGAGATGAATTCATTTTTACTTTGCAAATTTGTAAATACACGCTCTGTAGCAATGTTCGTACATATATGAAGAAACAATAATAGCACCTACAAATACATTTTATGTACTATGCGGTACTACATTTACTAAAATGAATACAACATTTATTAATTAAATCAATACAATTGTAGTTTTTAAGTTTTAGGGGTGTATAAAAAAAATGGGGCGCGCTGAAAAATAATTGATTTTCAAAGGGGCGGTAAAAGAAATAAGTTTGATAATCACTGATATAATGTATCTAATAAAACGATGCATATTTAAATGGTGTCTTTTATTTTATATCTCAATAAGTTTTTGCACAAGTCTTTACTTAAAGTTTTTCTTCATCCTTCTTTTTGGCAATGTAATCTGTCATTCCTCCTTTTCTTTTTCGACTTCCTCTAAATGGGTCGAAGTCTTCCTACCTAGATGTTGTGTTGCCTTTTTAGTTCGTTCGCCACAACGTCCCAGATATCAATAGATAAAAAAAGTATATACTATTTGTTAAAACTTTACAAAACAATAACGCGCAGGCCTTTTTAAATTACTACTTATATAATATGAAAATTTCTGCTAAAGTAATTTAAAGAGATTTTTTAAGCGTTTTTATTTTCACTTAGCCGTTGAAAGAAATAAATAAATAAACATGGCTGGTTTTAGCTTAGACTGCGTCGTTGACAAACGCATTGCACCGTGTACAAATTAATAAGTTTTTTAAAATGGGCAACATTACTGCCTTCTATGAAATAACACGTATTCATGATTGAGCAATTCTGAAAATGATACGTAAGCATCTCTTCAACTTTCTGGAACCTTTGCCACGATAGCGTCTCAATTGCTCAGTGTCGTTCATCTACTCCTGACTGATTGTTATTTATTTTTGCCCTATTTTATGTAGATTAAAAGTAATATATACTTTGTTTTTTCAAGATAGTGAACTCCTACGAGACGTTGCGGCCAAATAAGCGGTGAGGGTAAGTAAAATTCTATCTAAGGACCCATTAAACGACTCCCTTGCACTATTCGTCCAAGCGTCCGACCCCGCCCAGGACAGAACCAGCGGAAGTACGACTGTCGTCAATAGCCTCTTCCTAGACAGAAGTCTGGATCACTGACGGTGGCCGCCTCTTACAGGCGCTAGAGCTGAACTTAGCCTCTCCTTATGACTCCAACTCAAAAGGGGTAGACCTATGCAGAGATAGAACAGGTTTTCTTTTCTTCCTCCACCGTGAATTTGCAGAACCCAAGAATCGCCTACCAGCACGTGTTGCTACCAACACGTGGTGCTACCAACACGTGGTGCTACCAACACGTGGTGCTACCAACACGTGGTGCTACCATTGTAACCATTACGGTCGATACTGACAAGTTTGATTCTATTTGAGTGACATAGGCACGCTGATCTCCTCCCTGGCAGAGTGAGCTTCAAGTGTAAGTTTCATCGTGTCCTCGTCGCTATCGGTAGCATCGAAGCAGCTAGACCCGTGACCATTAACATCAATCAGAAGGTGAGGCATCCTCTGCGAGAGCCGGGCGAACTACCCCGGCAAAAAATTATTGCAGATATGTAGGTACTTAGGCAGGTAGGATATTACGTAGACATTTTGAGAAAATATCAAAGGCGCTTTCTGTCGTTGCCGATTGTTCTGTAAAATGTACTAATAAATGCATGATTAAGCCGTAAAAGGGTTTTAGGTCACTTTATGAACCTCTTTACGTAAAACTTACCAACCTATTTGTTGTAAATAAATGAAAGTAGTTGTTGTTTGTTGCATATAAAAGAGAATTTAATCACGACCATTTCAATTATTTCATGACGCTGTCAAGCACTATATATGTTAATTTTATACTGAGATTATTTTCGATATAGAAATTTGTTACACGTGAAAGCATTGTTCACAACTCGGAAGTCTAAAACATTTCATTTTAATGACTCAAATTTGGCCATACTCAAGTATTCAATCTGAAGATGTCGAAATCACCGGAGGATCCATTTTATTGGTGAAGTTCTTCTAAGAATCTTGCAGTTGCATTAACGCTCGAGCTTCTCAGTATTCTATATTGTTTATGTTATCGAAAGTATCGATTACAGTAACACAATCTATTCGTTGTATTTTCTGAGTTATTAAATGCATCTATATTTGATTTTAAAACATTGTAATGGATAACATTAAAATAATGTGGTAATAACGCGTACTTTAGGAGACATCTGAATTTGTTATTTACCTAACTTATGATGTTAGCTGTTATAGACATTAAAAGAAACGACCTCATATTTAAATTGCACGAATCGCAGGATTTACTGGTGGTAGGACCTCTTGTGAGTCCGCACGGGTAGGTAGGTATCACCGCCCTGCCTATTTCTGCCGTGAAGAAGTAATGCGTTTCGGTTTGAAGGGTGGGGCAGCCGTTGTGACTATACTGAGACCTTAGTACTTATATCTCAAGGTGTGTGGCGCATTTACGTTGTAGATGTCTATGGGCTCCAGACACCACTTAACATCAGATGGGCTGTGAGCTCGTCCACACACCTAAGCAATAAAAAAGAAAAATATAATTAAGGGGGTATTAACTTTAAAATAATTATATTGCGAAACAAACGAATTCTTTCTTTAAGCAAAAACAATTGGGGGATATGGAAGGCGAAGTAAAAGAAATCCAGATGGAAATAGCCGCTATAAAACGTGACCGATTAGATGTGATGACGAAGAAACAGATGAATGTTTTTACGCCGGTACGTAAAATCGGGACAAGGTAATACATATAATTGCAGTAGTTTTCAACTTTATTATACCTCATACATCATTTATTATCCGAAAACGTTGTTTTTAAATCATGTTTTATCGTGTATCGCAATTTGGTTCTCGAGTTCCGCGACCACTTTAAATAGATAAGGATCTTAAATCTTAGAAAGCTTCGTAGACGGGCAGACAGGCTCACGATCATTCCAATAACTTAATTATCGCTGTCCATGTATAACGTGAACGCCACTACTCCTTTAAAGAAGGTAGTCTGTGAAAATTTCATATTGAAATAATGGGCATTCTACCCTTCCAAGTTTTGTAATATTTGAGTACTAATATAAATTAATTACTATATTCTTTTGTAATACACACGATTTGTCGTCACAGCTCCAGAAGTGAAAGCGTAAATTTTGTGTCCGCATATTTATTGGAGCTTTATTTTAAGGAATCGGAATATCTTGAAAGTACAGACAGTGGCTTTGGTGAATCTGTAAATAAAGCATCGGAAGAGAGGTCTTGTAATTTAACACAGGTACTTTGGTTTTATTGTCAGAAACAAGTTAAACGTAAAGTTTGTACGGTCGTTTATTTGTTGATTTAAGATAACGAAACTTCGAGAAGAATTAATTAGAGCCAAAACCCTGGCTGAAGAAGAAAGAACTCGGCGTGAAAAATATGAGACGAAGTTGAAAGATTTGGAATTGAAACTCAGCGAAATATGTCATAAAGAAATTCCTGGACATAAAGTACGTAGATACTATGTGTAAATCGTAGTTACAATTATTTTTAATTTTTTAATTCAACACGTACCTATCCTTATATGCATATGTGCCTAAGTATTTTATTATCATGTACCTAGTGTTAGTTATGGAAGCGCCACTACATGAATTTTTCGCATCAGAATATGTTTAGTTTTGATTAAATGAACTAGGCAAATCGTTCGAGTTTACTAATTTGGTAGGCTAAATAATACATCAAGTCGCACAAACTCGCCACCACGTTTAGAAAATAAAACCCATAAGTCTAAAAATAACAAAAAATGGAACCTTTATTTTTTAATACACTACAAGTAGGGTAGGCAGAGATAGAATCCATTTCCGGTTTGAACCTCAAGAGTTCACCTATACGCTAGGGTAAAGCTGAAATAGCCTCCCAAGGCTATCAGCATAGGTAGGAGAAAAAAAAATAGAAGCCACCTTGCTAGGGAATGTTTACTTGTCGCCTATGAATAGCATAACGTGAATGCCTCTACCCTACGACGTGACGTCAAAGTCGCAATTGTATTGTATACAACGAATTAAAAAAAGTTGAACGTTTATGAATTGATTCATTGAAAAAGCTATTGTTTAGTACTGAATGATTGCGTTTAATCATTGTAACAATAGGAATATCGGAAATATACCGAAAAAGAGGTGGCGGCTTTGAAAACGCAAATCAGAGAATTGAAAGAGGAATTGGAGGAAACGAAAATGACTCTGAGAGAGAAAAATGAACAACAACAAGAATACAGATTGAAGGTAAGTAATTTTATTGTATTTTCCGTTAAATCTTTGATTGTTGTAATGTAATTAGAAATTAGTCATTATGCACGATTGCTCTATCGCAGTATCTACAAGCACAGCAAGAAGTCGAAGAATTGAAAAGACAATTGGATGTTATAGAATTTGACAACAAGCAAGTTTCTGATCAAATTCAGATAGAGATTCAAAAAGTGAAGGTAAGCAAAATGCCGCATAGTATTGTCGTTATACTAACATCTGTATACAAATAAACAACACAATTAGTGGATTGCCCGTATGTCCAGAGATAAGTAGGGGCGAGCATTGACACACGCGTAGTAAAAAGTTCCAAGATAAATACCCAATATTTTTAATGTAATTAATACACGAAAAAAGAGGGATTATTCTATTTTATCATACGTTATAATTTTTAAAAATATGTAAATTAAATACACATTTTTAAAAAACGCAATTAATTGCTTCATTTTTATTCTTTCTGGTGAGTCCGCGCGGGTGGGTACCACCACCCTACCTATTTCTGCCGTGAAGCAGTAATGCGTTTCGTTTTGAAGGGTAGGGCAGCCGTTGTAACTATAATGGAGACCTTAGAACTTATCTCTCAAGGTGGGTGGCGCATTTACATTGTAGATGTCTATGGGCTCCAGTAACCACTTAACACCAGGTGGGCTGTGAGTTCGTCCACTCATCTAAGCAATAAAAAAAAATTAATAATAATAAAACATTTGAATATTCATCCTCGTTAATGTCGATATTAAAATTATAATACTTAAATTATCTTCAATATCAGTTTAACTGGCCGAATCAGAATCATCTCGTAAATTACATTAAAATGTATAAATTGCATTAAAAATATAACTTCATCGATAAAATCTTCGTATTTGACGTTAGAAATTTCAAATTAATTAAATTTGGCGCGCATTAGTTCCCTTGTAAACTCCTGTTCGCAAATACTCACTAAACTCGATACCGATTATAGATTGTATCGATGTTAAATATGAGTTATTTATTATTACTGATGGTAGGATATTTTGTGAGTCCGCACAGGTAGGTACCACCACCCCGCGTAATGCGTTTCGGTTTGAATGCTGGGGCAGCCGCTGTAACTATACTTTAGACCTTGGAACTTATATCTCAAGGTGGGTGGCGCATTTATGTCGTAGATGTCTGTGGACTCCAGTAACCACTTAACACCAGGTGGGCTGTGAGGTCGTCCACCCAACTAAGCAATAAAAAATAAAGATTTCTGTGGACACAACACTGACCTTCGCTGGCTGTAAATACATATTTCATGAACTTTATAATATTTTACCATGTAGCTATGGAAGAAAATTGCATGTCTGTGCAGCACGGGTCTAATTTTTTTATATTTCTTAGTTTCTTTATTTGTTTATTATTTACATTTGTAGTCGTATCATTTTAAACAGTACAATGCCGCATGCCCTGATATTCATAAGAAGAAGCAGTGATTTGTTTTCTTCAAACATTCAATATTATTTTAATACTTTAATTTTTATTATAGACTTACGTTTTAATAGTTTTACAGTATTAAAGGCTAACATTTAATGTTAGCCTGCTAGTTACAGTTCTTACTTTTTAGAAAACGTGCGCTCATTCTGTTGTTCAAATAAAATATAAAAATTTAAATTTTACCAAACTGATTGCAGCCTGAAATAGTTAATGAATGAATCGCTAGATGTCCTAAAACATTTTACGCAGAGGTAGCTAACAGATGGCGCTATTTCAATTGCCCATTGCGAGCTTGTATCAAAATTTCGTTTTTTCGTTTAAAAAATACTGATTCATCAAAGCTCAGACTAAAAAGCTCAACTTATTTCAAAAGCATAATATTCTCATAATTAAATATTCTAAAAATCGACTTCAATGGTTCGCTGATGAATGAGGTATTTATCGTTTTATTTGATTCGTTGACTGTCTGCCCGATGGAGGGCTGTACTGGGAGATCTCTAGAAGCTTCGATAATTGATCCGTCCGTCGGGATCTTACAAGTGTAAAAGGGTTAATAACGTTTGTATTGCGCAAATATTTGTTCATACACGGCAACAAGATTTTTGAACATGAAAAAAAAAATTGTAGTATTTGGATGCCACCCAGGCAGAGAGCAATGTACCTATTAGCAAATAAATGTATGTATGTTTCGTTGTTTTTAAGATTATAATCGCCGGCAACAGAAAATTAATATTTAATTCGTACTCAACGATCGTACACGGTATGGGATATCTAAAAGCGATTTTCAAGTGGCTGTTACTGAAAATGTAATCGAAACTTTCGTTAATGTCATACAGATGCAATTCCAAGAGAAACTTCAGGAGCTGGCTCCTTTGCCGGATCTCTTGAAAGGAGCGCAGATACAATTGCAAGAGGCCAAACAGTTGCAGAGACTGGCTGAAGATAATTCGAGACAAATCTCTGCAGAACTTCATAGAGTCAAAGAAAAAGTAACAACAATTCAATAATTTCGCTTTTAGCCTAAGTTCAACTAAACGAGCTCTTGCAGGAAGACAATTCACAATTTTGATAGTTTTTTATTTGGTCCATCGTATCTTACTTACGTGCATTTATTTCTTAACTCACTTAAATTTCAGAATAATAATGTCGATTCCTATTTAAAAAAAATCCCAATTAGACAAAAATTTACGATTCTATTCTATAGGAGAATAAACACATAAGTCATAACAATTTTTTTTAACTCAAAATTTTTCTTGTAAGCCCATTATTATGACTCAAAACAGTACTAAAAAGATAAAAATTTCAACTTTTCAGCTCATTATAACGGCCAACAGCCTTGAACAGGAAAAAGCGATTAGAAGTGATTTATCAGAAGAAAATAAACTTTTGAAAAATATGATTTCTGAAAAGGGAAAAGAAATTGATGAAATATCTAAATCTCTAGATGATCATAAGTAAGAGTATTTTAATGCCAGTTTAATTATTTTTTTTAAATTTTTGCTATATTCTCGTTGATTAAAATGTTTTCTGTACTTTTAATAAATAATGTTTCGTTTAATACATGATTACTTAAGGAGTGTTGTAAGCTCACACGGGTGGGTTCCGCTATCTGGACATTTTTTGCTACGAAGCAGTCAGGCGTTCCTGTAAGAAGGGTAGGATATGACTGTTTGAGATTTTCAAGTTCAAAGTTCGTGGCGGAATTTGTTGTTATGTATTTAAAGTTATGTCTAGGGGGTTTTAACTTAACAGCAGGTGAGCTGTGCGCTTTTCTGCCCACCTAGAGTAATAAAATACGATCATCCGATATGTAATAGATGAAAATGACCAACATAAAGTTTTTGTTGTTTATGTCTGTTGTATACGTTCACCTTTCGTTACTCAAGTTAAGTTGATGCTTTATATGTAAGTTAAAGTTGGCATGTTAGAGAGGAATTTTGGCTCAAGACTAAGAGAAGTAAAAGAGAGAGATAGCAAAGAGCCTACGAAAAACCAATAACGATTAAAGATAGTTAAAAATATATTATACTAGCGACCCGCCCGTGCTTCGCCTCGGGAACTGTCATTTATTATTGATTTTATTGAATTTTTTATCTTCATCTTTCATGATATCGCGCATTCGGTTGCTTATAATCTATTCAAAAATATTAGTCCAAATGATATATTGTAAAAGACAATGTTTGTATACTTTAATTACCAGATGCGATAAAAGTATTTATTTTCATATATAAGGTTCAATTTGTGACTACCGAATGTGCGTTTATAAATTATCAATTTTTATTGCATTCTTGGTTTACTATTTTGGCGATAATGGCTTACACTTTTAACAGAGATATATTCTGTCGCGGGCTTTTTTTTGTAGAACCATTTAAGATAAATATTTACACGATACATTAATTATATACGTCTAACTCCAACGGAGCTCGCAGTTGGTAGATTTATTTCCTACTTACTTGACACTTGGTTGGTTATGTTTTGGGTAATTCACACTATTTCTTTATAAATTATATGTGTTATTCTGATGTGTAAGCTATATTATTGTAAAGTTCAGTTAGTAGTTTAGTTTAAAGAAAGAGTAACCAGCATACAGATGTAGTGAGAAATTATTTTCCTTCCTTATAAATATAATTCCTTGGACTGGATTTTTTAACCGTTTTCGAGGTTTCGGCATGGCTATACAACCTTTTTATAAGTAATCTGAAAATATGATTAAAAATAATACGAACTTTACCGAAAAATTACGAAGGAAAGTCTTTTCTCACTATATCTGTACATCTATACATTCTTAGACACTTTCACATTTATAATATTAGTAGGATGAAAAATGCTATTTCTGTAATATCAAATGAGAGAAGAAAATGAAATTATTCAATTTATTGTCAATCTATGGGGCTTAATCGACTTCAACAAAAGAAAGATGTTCTCAATTCGAATGCCTTTTCTGTGTTGCCTCATAACTTTTCCGAGGTGAAACAATTTGGATGATTTTTTTTATTTTTAAGATTGTGCTTTTCATGTGGTTCTATTTTAAATTTGGTTAAAGTATTAAGATCTGACTAGTAGTTTTTATTTTATCCTTAATTATTTATATGTATTTAATTATTGACTACATCGATGATATTCTCAATTTTTATTGAAATTATTTATGTATCAAATATATGCATATAATTACCTATTTTACGGATATATGTATGTATTTATATGATTCCCTCGGTTGTGCAGTAATTAGCGCTCCTGAGTGTTGCGCCGAGGGTCGTGGGTTCCCACATCAGGTAAGCATTTGTGTGATGAATAGGTTTGTTTGCTCTTTATTTGGGTGTTTATGTATATATTTAAACATATATAAGTATGAATGTATATCTGATACCCATAACACAGAGAATCCTAATTTGGGCCGAATGACTGCGTGGTATGTTCCCAGTTCTGTCTTTACTTATTTATTATCTATATAACGAGTTTGGCCATAAATATGCTTACATAAAAACTTTTCTTTTTTTCATTTTTTTAATTGTTTTGAATTTGAAACACGTGTATTATTTTAAAAACTTCTTTCAATTCGAATTTTTGGCGCCAATTCACATTTTTTCATGTTCATTATCAAATTACGATGAAGAATGGGGTCTTAAATAGGATAGAATTGGGACTTTTTCATTTAATTTCATTTCATATCATCATTTTTCATAAAAATAAGAATATAAATTAAAATAAGACATGACTTAAAGGTCTTAGTTACCAGGTCATATAATCCCTTAAAAAAAAGAATAGAATTGCAGTGATCGCCTTGCACACATTGGGTATGGAGCCATAGGCCATATTCCAAACACTCAAAAGCTTAGTATCAGCCGTATGTTCGTATATCGTACTATCAATACATACAACAATACTTCGTCTGTCGAAGATCAGAAAATTACGGGGCGGTCACAGAAATATCCTCTTTTCCGACGAAAAAATTTTCACGATTGAAGAACAACTACATCAAGCAAAATGATAAAGTGTACGCTCACAGTTCTAAAGAAGAAGTGGTTGGAAAAGTACAACGTGGTCATGATCCTGCGTCAGTGATGGTTTGGTGGGGCGTGTCTTATCAAGGAGTCACAAAGCTACATTTTTGTGAAAAAGGAGTGAAAACTAAAGCCAAAGTCTATCACGATACAGTCTTGGATCATGTTGTGAAAACTCTCAGCAATACACTTTTAAAAAAATACCGTGGAATTTCCAGCAAGTTTCTGCCCCTGGTCACACGGCACGAACTGCCCAAGCCTGGCTTGAAACCAACGTTCCGGACTTTATAAGAACTGAAGACTGGGCCTCATGTAGCCCAGACCTCAACCCTTTAGACTTCAAATTATAGTCTATTTTAGAGGACATGGCCTGCTCTAAACGACACGGCGAAATTGAGTCTCTTAAAAAATCTTTGAAGCAAACAGTGGTGAAATTTCCCTTGGAAACAGTGCGTAAATCCGTAGATTCGTGGCTAAAGAGATTAAAGGCCTGTATAAAAGCCAAAGGTCGCCATTATGAATGGGTTTTTTTTTGCTGAGATTTTAATAAATAATTATGTAGGTATACATTTTAATAATATTACATTGCTTCATTAAAACAATAATGCATTTTCATTTTTAACAGAACTTAGGCTGGACTAGGTATAGTTAAATTCAAAATTAATAATAATTTGCGGAGCTCATTTGCAGATCCAAAGTTTTACGTCTCGAAGAGAAACTGACACAGCAAGAAACGAGATTCACAGAAAAAGCTAATGAATGTTCGCAGCTACTTAAAGATTTGGATGATCTGCGACAGGAAAGTCAAAGGTCAACAAATCGAAATAAAGAACGCTCGGACTCGATGAGGAGATATATGCAAACGCAGATTACTGAACTCGAGAGGCAGTTGATACAGAGTCGGGCGCAGTGCAGAGCCTGTCAGAAGGAGCGGGATGAGGTATGAATTCGAGTGCAAATTGATAGAGTGACACAGCTATTTCGCTTAGCGTTTCTGTTAGTAACGAACAGCAATTTTAATTTAGACTGAGAGATCTCTTCATTCTAATACAGATATATAAGCGCCCATTATTTCTTTAGCAGTTTCGAAACTAATTTCTATATTTCATCGGCTCATTACTATTTTTCATCGGCGGCAAAATATGAAATGAAAAAACTCTTTTTGAATAATTAAGGTTTGAATGATTATAGTGTATTTTTCGGTTTTCGCTGTGACAACCCTGTGGGTGCTTACTTGTTTGGTGTCCTTGACTCACCGATTGTTTTGGCTCGATTATTGTTTTGCCAGTATTGTCAAAATGGGCGATATTGTCTGATTGGGTTTCGAAGAGCTTGCCGGTTAAGAGGAATGACGGTTGAAATGCCGGTGACAGATGCCCGGGCGTCACGTGAGGCGAGCTAGCGTAACGTCAAACTTGTATAGTAACGCGCTATCTCGTTCCATCCGTCCAGCACTAGAGATCTTATGCAGATTCGGGTTAATGACCATTTATTTCTTTATTTTCCTTAAATATTGTTGTGTGTATTCGACCGCGATGCATTTGCAGACAGTGGTCTCGTTGAGAATTGGAAGCGTAGTTGCGAGCAAGGAGGTTTTATTTCGAGTGCGCCTAAATTGTTATCCACTGTCTCCCGGCTGCCTCGTAGGTGTAAGGGTGACCTTCGGAAATTCTTGTCTCGCCTACTTGTACAGGAATAAAAACGTTTAATGTGTCTAAATGTAAAAAAACGCGTGTAGATACAATGGAAAGAAAAACACATTTCCAACAAACAAAGTTAAGTCATCCATTGTTTTTTTTTTCGAATACGATGGCAATTAGGTTATTTAACCTGTTCCACACAACTCGTTATAAGTCACACGATGTAGGTTAATTATGATTATATTTAAGATTCAATTTTATGTTTTCCGTGATCGTTAGAAAAAAAAAAAAAACAATAGACCTACTCAAAGTACCATGTTAGTTTAATTGACTATGGCAAGTTTTTGTATGGAAATTTTAAATTTGGAGCCATTGATTTTAAATTACTTACAATAGCAGTACGAGATTACTTTAAAGTAAACAACGCTCAATACGCAGCCAAGAGTTATAAATCAATTGGTAATTTAAACTACTTCACGAGTCCTTTCACGAACCGAATGGAGTCTTGCAAGGATATTAAATGAACAAATGTTTTAGATCCGACAACGTATGCAGATTCAAATCAATAGCCTTCAAGAGAACTTCGAGCTAGTTGAGATCAGACTTCGTGCTCTTCAAAACCAGGTCACGTCACTAAAGAATAGTTACTCTGTCATTCTCGCCGACGAAGAGGATGGTAATGAATACAACAAAATCGCTACTGTTTAAAGTTTTTGATGTTTTTTTTTTTTCGTAATGTAAATGATTGTTTCTTTTAATGATTAAAAACGTTTTGAGCACAATTGCAGTGATGTTTTTCTTCTAGAACTTTTTTACCAATTGTAAAAACTGTTTAAAAGATTGTCTCAAAGTTCAGTGTCCTGTACTAACGATTGACCAAAAATCTTAAAACAAGAATACTAAGTAATCTAAGGGCTCAGTTTTTTACAGTACAACTGCTGTCCCGCCCTTCGAACCGAAATGCATTACTGCTTCACAGAAATAGGCAGGTTGGTGGTTCCTACCCGTATGAACTCACAAGACGTCCTACCACGAGCAATTACGCAAATTATAATTTTGGAGGTTTGATTTTTATTAACCGATATGGAAGTCGATCGTGAACATTTAATTTTGTTAAGTACGTATTTCATTAGAAAAATTGGTACTTGCTTGCGGAATTTAAACACTATTGCATCGCTAAATACGAATACACCGGCCGGCTTATCCTTTAGGCCACGACGACTTCAATGGTTTGTTTGGCCTCGGTTTGCTGCATAGTTGATCAGTCAACGTTTGACCCTAGTTTCTATCTATTTGATCAGGCCAGAGTTTGACCTTGGTTTGCTACGTATTTGATCAGGCCAGTGTTTGTTCCTGATTTGCTACAAATGTGATCAGGCCAGAGTTGGACCCTGGATTTCTACCTTTTGATCAGGCCATCGTTTGACCCTGGTTCGCTACCCATTTGATCAGGCCAGTGTTTATTTATGGATTCTCTTCCTCTTCGATTTTGTTGAAACATTAAATATAAGTAGTATAGTAAGTAGTAATAAGTCTTTCAATCTTAATTCCTATAATGTTGATAGTCTTTCGACGATATAGGCTAGAAATATCGGACTTAGGGATGACTTATGGATGATTAGTGTTCACCGTCGATCATGGAATGCAATGCTCGCATCATTAAAAAATACTGAATTCATAAAAGTCGTAATAATATTAATAACGTAAAAATACACGAACACAACAACATAATAAATCATTTAGAGCGTTCCACACAGAAAGCTCTTTAATTTTTACAAGTAAATAAAATATTAAAAAAATTGCCAAAGGACGCAGCTGATGCTCTATGTAATAATGTATGTTTGTAATGACAATAAATTCTAGAACAAAAAACCTGTATATTAAGTGTACGTAAACTAGTGCATTGAGTTGTGAGATACAACTCAGTACCTATTCCTTTGTATGTGCTTGTGTATTGTGCTCGTGATAATAACGTAATAACCGACAACGTCTAAATACGCCTTCGACCATTGGATTAAACATTACGTCTATAAATAGACAAAGATAATATAGCTCAGTACCTTTTGCTTTGTTTATCAGTAGATTTGTACCATAACTAATAATAAACTTTAATGTTGTCTATATTTTTGATTTTGGAAACGGCTTTTACCATTAACATAATTCTTGAGGTGCCAGTGATTATGTTCGGAGTTAAGCCATTGGGTGAACACAAGCTTTATGGAATTAGGACTTATCAATCTACTGTCTATCACAATGTGTCGCCAATCTGTGTAAAGCAATCTTATCCGTCGGTTTGAAGAAAAGGATCGCTGTTATTCTTGTGGAATGAGGGATTTGATTTTATACTCCAAGCTGGACCGTCATGTCACATTGTGTCAAATTTCCTCAAAGCAAAAATAGGCGGGGTAACATGTACGGGTTCATAAGGTGCCCTAAGTAATGACGCAAATATTTTTTGTTAGCTTTGATTGTTGACAAGAGTAGATCCCTCAGCATGATCAACAGAAATTCATCTGAAACTCCTATGTGGTTGATTTAAGTGTATTCTCAATATATGTACATGTGCTCTTTTTTATCAACACACTTTTTTTTTGTTCACAGTGTACAGCTTAATTAATGAATAAAATCTAAGTTAAACAAACTGGTGGTTTAATAACAACTAAAAAAAACTCGCATAAATAGCAAACCGAACTAACAATTAAATTTATATAATTTTCTTTAACCCCATTGATACCATTCAAGATATTAGAGCGATGTTATATGTAATAATAAAAACGTGCAACTACTACCGCGTGTCTTTTTCACACGGTGCAACAATGCGATGCAGGCCATGATGAGTTTCAACATTCTAAAGATAAGCGAAAACTTTTAACAAACTGTTTAATAAATAAAGCTATCGCTTAGAATCACGTGTTAGCTATTTAATACCAATTATTAAGTTGGGAATAAAATTTATTAGAGGCTTAGATTTCAGTACGCTTGCGGACAGAATCGCGTTGCAAGCGCGGCTCATTCGAATGGAGGCAGCGCCCTTGCGGCTTGCTCGACTTGAGGTCGTACCTCTCGACTGATCGCCTTGTTTAATGTCAACGCACAACGCCGACCTTTTAATTAAAAATAAAACGTTTTATTTTTATTCGTTTGCGCGTTTTCCTCGGCTTGCTACGGTTTCACTTTCGAACCCGGCGCGACAGGTTCTTCTTGTTTCATTTAGATATTGTGATCTTTGAAGAACAAATACTTGGCTTCGATAGCCACTATTCAGTTTGCTGTCCAACAATGCATTTTGTTTTGTTTTGTATTACTATACTTTGGATTTATTGGTCTTGTTTGTATACCCACTAAACGAGCGCTCAAATTGAACAACTGGCGATAAAATAATTCTTTTCATCTTCCTAAATATTGTCTTACTCCACACAGAAGCTGTTATATCCGTTTATATGATTTCAATATTAGATTAAATCCATCGGGAAAGATTTTACAAAAGTATAGTCCTGGTATTTCTTCTCTTGGAACTCGGATTTTTTTCTTATGTACGTTTTATTGTAGATTAATGTATGATATATAGAGCGTGTATGTTGCATACATAGCACTAGTAGAATTGATTAATCATAGAAAAAATAGGATCTAAAAGGCCTGTGCATAGGCACAGGCAAATTGTTCATGCGAACTGCCTCCTAGTAATTTATCATGGACCAGGTAGTTGATAACGTATAAAATCCGTTATGATCTTTTCAGCGGGTCGCGATTTCGATCCGGTAGTAGTTTCATTCGCGAAACAGCTACGCTTGAGTTGTTAGGTCTCCTTTTAAGGCGCTCGGGTAGCTGTTAGCAAATTCCTTCCTAAGTGAGCCCTTGCTCGCCCATCTGGCCTGATAAAACTGGAATGGCCTCGGGGGCCACCAGTAATCTCTCAAACATAATAAAAAAACATATAAAACCCAATTTTGCCTCACATAAAAAACGGTTGTAAGATATAAAACAGTTTGTCCTTTCTATTAGCTTGCTTTAATTGCTTATATTCATCATCATAGTCGGTTGCTCTTGACAGAGCAGTCGTGGTCATGTAGAGCTCTTGTTTATTAAAGCCTTGGCAGATGTTTTCCATAGTTTCCGAACTGAGGCTTGGCGCACGCACTCGTTAAGTGGGGTTTCAGTAAGGTCTTTCACCTGATCAGTCCAGCGCATGGGGATTCGTCCACGAGATCTCTTACTTATTATGATATGATAAGATACTATTATTATGATTTTGAGCTCATCCACCCATCTAAGTAATAAAAAAAAAGATACATAATAAGATACTCTTATATTATTAAGATAAAATAAAGCCTTGCTAGATATCATAAATATTAAAAAAGTTATGTATATAGATCAATTATGCAAATAAACACGATAATAACAAAATAGGAAATGTTTATTTAAGACTCATTAATACTATAACAATTTATACAAAAGGAAGTTGAACAGGTTCTGTGCAAAATTGCTGTAATTGCTTTGTTTCAATGTCGGCATTGTTGCTGTTTTTTTTTTTAAGTTTTGCTTAATTCCTACCCCGGTTTTGATAAATTGGAATATCCATGTTCAAGTTACCTATCACATAAGGTTAGAAGATAAGATGTATCTAAAGAACCCTCTTCGCTGGGACCCTCGCAAATTTTATTATCGGCACGGATTCAACGGGAGGTGACGAAGAAGACGGTCCACGTTTCTCGTTTAAATTCCACTTGTTTTTCATTTGTAAAGTAATTGAGTTTAAAAAACATCCAGAAATGATACTAATTGATATAATGTATGAATATCAATCAAGAATATTTTTTAATTTTTTTAATTTGAATCCATTGTTAATGGGTCATCTTCATATAAGAAGGAACAAAGAAAACAACAAAATCCACTCAAACTCATATATTCCGTTTGATTTTTTAACTTTTTGGTGCTCCATTTTTTATCTTTGTGTATTTAAGTTATAAATTAATACTAATATAATAGTAAAGGAGTCTCGCAATGTACACTTTCTCCGTAAATGGGCAATCGGAAAATCTGTGTACTTTCCGAGACCCAGGCAATGAGCTGGGCAAAATAAATACTACAATAAGGTACAAAAAAAGAATTCAACGAAGTACCATCGGATGGTTATCACACTTGTTCACACACGTTCCACGCACGCCAACAACAGTCTTACACCTATAATATCACTAGCTATACAGAATGCGGCAAGGCCGCGTGCACTGAACCACTGTTGTGTACTGTAAAGGTAAGGAGATCACTCGAAGTGTGAGCCCTTGAGCTTCTTAACGGCGTTGGTGAGATGCAACATCTCGGTGTTGAGCTGCCAGATGAGAGTTTCCAGCTTATCAACGGAGTCGAGCACCTCTACGCGCTCTGTGTGAGGGTTGAAGCGCACTTCGAACGGTCGCGACATGGTTGACACCCAGCGTCTAGAAACGGAAATTATATTAAAGACTATTCATAAAAGAAGCTGATATCTGTTGACTAGTGCCAGAGCAAACTGTACGCCACAATGGCATGGAATGCCTACTAAGAAAATGTAAGAAGACCTCAAAAATGTAACAGAAAAAGCTATCGATTATTTCACAAACTGTAAATCTAAATTATAACCACGCAGTGTAAACGAATGCCATACGATAAATAAGTAAAGTATTGACTGTTAGCTGCTTTTACCTGAATTTGTCTTTGGCATCTTCGAAGGT